CATGCACTCTGCTGGGGCGTGCATGTGGCCTTTGTGCTCCTCCAGTTGTTTTCTTTTTCTCCTTTTCTTCCTTCTTTTCACTTTTCATTCTATGAAAAAGCCTCTTTTACTCAAACTGTACAAAATGGCTGGGGCTCTCCAAAAAGAGGAAAAAGAGGAATAGAGAGTGATGCAACTGTTTTTAGTGAAGTGCTTGAGGAAACTGGAAGCAGTGTGCTGGCAAACTGGGACTGATGTCTGCTTTATCTTGCAATTAAAACTTTGGAATGGCAACAGGCTGCACTTGGCCTTTTTGCTTGTGTGCTTGCCAAAGGGTAAAATAACTTCTTTGAGCCTAGCTTGATGCTTCCTCACAGATTTTCAGTACAGCTGAAAGAAAACAACATCTGTGCAGCTTGTTCCTGTTGGAGGTGGCATCCACCCCAGCGCGGGTTTTCCTCCCCCCTTGCTCTTCGGAGCAGTGGTTGCTTTGCAGCATGGGAGCAGCCTGCTGCTGCTGCTGGAGGATTTCTGCTCAGCTCAGAGCCTGTGCCACTGTGCCTCAGGACTGCTCTGCTAAAGGGGATGGAGCTGCACGATGGCTGTCAGTGACACTGCCCTGGGCTTGGTGCTGCAGCGGGGCCACAGTTGGAGCATCCCTGTGCCCCCTGCCCTTTCTCACATCTTAGTGAAGGTCTGGATCAGGCCAGCTGTGGGATTTACATATAGAATGGAGGACACGGGTTTTAGAATGTTCTAACTCAACAGGAGTGCACTCAGAGCAAAGTCTGAGCGCTGCCTGCTGCTCAGCACCAGTCCCATCTGCCGTCACCACACACACCCACAGTGAGTCACCCTGAGCTGCTGGGGAGACACTACAACAAAACCTGAGCTGGAAGGTCCCCGGGAATCCCGGTGCAAGCATATAGAGAGAAAGTGCAACAGGGCAGTGTTCCAACAAGAAAATCTGGATCTGGAAAGTTTTGAAACAGGGTGGGGATTAAAAAAAGAAAAAGGAACAAAAGAAAAGCAGCTGCCTTGCTTGTGGCTGTGCCTGGGCAGCACTGTGTGCGAATTTGGAGCGTTTGGGATGGGAAGTGACATCTGCTTTGTCTGCTTTGTCTGACCACCTCCCCACCAGGCATGGTTGCCATTTTTTGGTGTGAATGCTGGACTCCTGGTCATCCATTCTGCCCTGCTATGCAAAGCAAGCTGCAGGGTTTGTAGTCTCTTTGAGCAAGCATAGCTTTTGGGAGGAAAAACCCCAGTCTTTAATGGAGGTATTGTCAGTGGGGTGATTCCGGCTCACCTTTGGCAGCTGGATGGGTCTGGATCATCTGGTGCACTCTGACACTCAGCCCTGTCCTGATAACAACCAGAGGGCTCAGGGGATGCCCACGTGCAAGCAGTGTTTTTTGCATATGCTTAATTAAAGCAGAGGAAAAAGAAATGAATGGGGAAACATGGGCAGGGCGTGCTCCAGAGAGAGCAGTGCATACACCGGGTCACTGTTACGCAAGGAAAGGGAGAGATAAACCTGATAAAATCAACTTAAATGATGCAACCACTCGCAGGCTTCCTATCCTTCCTTTGAAACCTACTTTACAAACAAAACTCTGGGGAAAAAGAAGCGGGAACTTCAGAAAGTTTTACTAACCCAGGCAGGAATGATTCACGGTGCAGGCATGTGAGCAGCACGACCTCCTGAGCAGGGCAGGCACAGAACCTGTGCTAAAACTGGAAAAAACGCTTGCAGTGATTTTCTTTACAGCACACCCATCTGGACACAACATGAGCAAACCACTGCCCCTGGCAGAGGCAGGGCCTCACCAGGCAGAGTGGGGTGGGTGGTGGATGTGCTGGTGTGGGCTGAGCCACGGGAACTGCCTTGGCCTTTTCAGAAAGAAAAACACAGCAGTGCTTACCCATGCCTGTCACAGGGCAGACTTGCTCCTTTCCGTGGCTTGTTGCTGCAAGTACACTTTATCCCAGACAAAGGCCTCTTCTCAGGAGTTCTGAATGGTTGTTCTGAACTATTGACAAGCTTGGAGTGAACAGGCTCTTCTTTCTTCTTCTGTGAGTATAATAAATAGAAATGTACTATGGTAAAGACTCAATGGAATATAATATGTTGTTACAGGAGGAAATGTGTATAATTTTGTTCCCAGACAACAGCAACAGAGGGATGCTGCAGGGAACTCCTCGCAGTGATGGGGTCTGAGCAGAGAGAGGAAATTAGGTCCTGTGCCTGGGAGAGGGAGAGGCTTTGTGAATGAGGAGCAGGTCTGAAAGATGCTGGTTTTGGCCTAATTGTGCTTGAATAACTAACACTGCAGCTGGAGAGGGCACTAGGGGTCACCACTGCCTTATCTGTGTCATCTCAAATCAGGACTAAGATAAATGACGCAAAAGAAACCAAATCCAGGCTATGCTTTTGTTTTCTCTTTCTTTCTCCCTTTCTTTCCTTTCTTTCTTTCTTTCCTTTCTTACTTTTCTTTTTCTTTCCTTCCTTCCTTCTTTTTCCTTTTCCTTTTCCTTTTTCCCATGAGTTGGACAGCTTGCATTTTACTTCCTTTTTCTCTTTTTCTCTGCTCCGGGCTGCCTGCCTTCTGTCAGCCAGCACCTGGAAGGATGCATTCAGGGAGGAGCAGAGGAGCTGCACGCAAACCCCTTCTGTGCAGCTCCCATTCACTCAGAGCAAGGGTTGGGCAGACAGCGTGTGCCAAGTGAGGCAGAGTCACATCGCGGCCTTGGCGTGTTTCTGCAAGAACTGATTGCTGCAATGAATGGCAGCCTTGTAGTCAAGAGAGTTCCTCCTGACACATTTTGCTCTGCCCCACCAGTAATCCCGTGTGTGGAGCTCTTTGTCCCCTGCTGTCCCACCACAGATAAGGATCCCCAGTTCTCACACAGCCGCCTCTCACGTCTGCACCGGGAGGGGGATCTGTGCCCAGGCTGTGAGCAGAAATGCAAATCCTCTTTTCTGATGTCTGGAAGTAACCATCAGTGTGGGCTGACTGTATTGTCTGAGTTTTGGAATCGTGCTTTTTAAGGCGGGATGCAAGGTGTGTGGGGAGGAAGGCTGATTTTACCGAGGCAGGTGATGTGTCTGGATGGTGCCCTGGGATTGGACGGGTGTTTACGGCACACCAGAGAACACAGGCACAGATATGCATTCTTGGGCCAGCACCGAGGTGATGGAGCTACCTGGAGAGCGTTATTTTGATGGCAGGTTCTGGAGAAACATGGGACTTGGGCCGGTCCAGCGCTTACGGGGCCGAGCGATGGCACCAGCAGAGCCGGGTTAATGTCAGCCCAGGTACACGTGTTCTGTGGTCGTGCCTTCATCCAAAGTGGGGGAGTTCTCTGCTTTATTTTAGGGTTTTATGTAACGCCCAGCTTATATAAGCCTTTGTCTGTTAACAAAACAGGTGGAGCATATCTGGCGTAGATTTGTCGCTGAAGAAGCACTCATTACTTAACTCTTACTCAAGTGCTCGTTATATACTCTAAGAATATTTGTTAGTTCCTTTCTAGCTGCCAATAATAACGTACCTCCTTGACAACCTGCTATGGATGAATGATAAAACATATAATTCACCCATTTAATGAACTACGTCTCAGAATACATTAGAAACAATACTATTGATGTAGACAAGGGAAAACCAAGGCATCCCCAAACCCTGGTCTCGGGCTGCATCTTGCTTGCCTTTGGGCAGGGGACAGTTTGAGGGTGCTGGTAGGGAGAGAAGGATGGTTTGGCCTCACAGGGAGTGGAGGGGCAGCTGGAGATCCTGGGCAGGAGAGGACTATGAAAATTGTTTTTGGATGGACTGGCTGAGCTTGCTCAAACCTGCCATTCCTGCTACTGCTCAGCTTTAAATAGCAAGCCAGCGTGCATCTCTACTTAGCACCATATGAGCCGGTTTGCACTCTCCTTCCTCCAGACACTGCTGGCTCACTGATCTGCCTGGCACTGCTGGGAGCTCAGAGCAGCGCTGCACAGCACAGCAGCTGCACTTCCAGTGCCCAGGCCTGGCCCTGCGGCCACATGAGGGCATCCCTATACCCACATGGCCCTGCACAGCCCCAGAGCAAGTTGGAGAGTTTTTTCCGTTTTCATTCATTCTTCTCCCTTGAGAGGAAAAAAAAAAAATGGATCCAAACAGCGAGAGATTTGTTTTTGTTTCCATGGGAATTCTGTGAGGAGGGGAAGGTGTGAAAGCAAACTGAAATATCCTGGCCAAGCGCGATGGTGCTCAGCGCCTGGGCAGCCATGGAGCCATCTCACAGCAACCCAACCTGGGGGTCTGCTGTCCCCTGGCCGGGATGGGGCTGTGGGAGCTGCGTGCAGAGCCACAGTGCAGGACTTGGCTGTGAGACACGACTACAGCTCCCAGGAGGCAGCGTGGCACGGTGGCACAGTGCCCGACTTCCTCCCCTGCCTCTTCCTCCCAGGGGGTGGCAGCCGCTTCCCTGGGAGGATATGGGAGGAGGGAAGCAGAGCGGAGGAGAACTGCTCTCCCCGCTGCAAGAATGCTGTCTGTGAGGCCTGCAGGAGCTGATGGCAGCTTTCTCCCACCACGTGCTGCTTGCTGTTGCTGAGAGCAGCTCTTGGCAGGGTTCTGGGTGCACCGCTGGCATCTGCTCCTCCCCTCCCCCGTGCTTGGCTACCACGGTGCCCATGGGTGAGACCAGAGCACAGGGCTTTGTGTAAAAGAAACGAATCAATAAAATCTCCATTTTTTTTTTCCTTCAGCTGGAGGGCTGTGTTTGCTATGCAGCAGCACGGGCTGCCAACCAGTGCCCAAAAAGCCCTTCTGCAGATGTCTCTGTGTGCATTATGTATCCCAACTCCTTCTTTGGTGTTTCCTTCTTTTCTTAAAGAGAAGGAAAAACATGACAAAATAGCAGCTAAAAAAAATAATAATATTAGAAATAACCATGACATTGTCCCTAACATTCCAACAATGGTTTTCCAGAGCCCAGCTGCGTGACTCCCTGTGTGACACCACGCAACGTGCTCTCCTTGGATAAGCACACACGTGGCATCCCTGTGACAGTGGGAAGCGCCCTTGGAGAGCTGCACAGGCGGTTCTGGAGGCCAAAAGTCGGTAGGAGCAGAGAACAAAGGAACCCCCAGCCCTGCCTGCCCTGCAGTCACCCAGCAGCACTGTGTTTCTTCAGGGCTCGAGGTATTTGACAAGGTATGTACACTCAGGGAAGGTGATGGCAATGGTGCTCGGGATGGGGGGAAGTGTGGTACATAGGTGCCATAGTGCTCGTGAAGAGGTTTGTAAGTAAGCCTTACCTAAATATGCATTAACTAAGTTACTGTTCATGAATTCATTAAGATCTCCCAGAACTCAGTTAGCCAGATGTGGGCATGGCGTGTGCTGTCCCACCAGGGGTGGGAGCGAGCATGGTCCAAGCAGCTGTGAGGTCAGCAGGGGAACCTGAGCAAGTGGCAGAGATGGGGCATCCCCTCCAGGCAGCGCCCTGAGGAGTGCTCCCCCCCCTGCCCTCCAACACTTCCCACCCCATGTTGCCATGAGCAGTGTGAGGCAGCGTGTCCAGGCTTTGCCTGAGCTTTAGAACAAGATGGGGATGTCACTACCAAAGGGTGACTTTCCATCATTTCCATTTCTCCTGTTCTTTGCTTCAGAGTTCCCTCTGCTCGCCTCCAATGCTTTCCTGATGCTGAGTGCTACAGATGCCCATGCTATCCTCTCACCTGATGCCACCTACACTCACAGCTCCCCATAATGCTGAGTGGAGCAGCGTTGGAGCTCAGCACCAACAGAAACCGTGTTGCAATGCTGCTGGGAACTGAGCTCAGATTGGCCAGTCTGATTTTAGGAGTGAAGGGCATCACCCACACTGTTCCCAGTGAGCCACCAGTCAGCCAAGACAGTGGAAACCCATTTTGAACAGATTAGCTGATAATGGGGCTGTTTAAAAAATGCAATAAATCCTTTAGGGAGGAAAACTATCATAACATCCATGCTGAAACCTTGGCACAGAGACTGAAGTGGGAATGCAGAATTCCCTGGAACAAGTCACCATGATGGCCCTGTGTGGCTGCAGCAAGGGAGGCTGTGGCACTGCAGAGAGGTTTGGGAATGCTCCCAGCACCCCCAACACGGCTGCCAGAGCAGCTCAGCGTGTGGAGAGCTTTGCTTTTCTATTTGTCACTTCAGTGCTTCTCTATCTGTCCCTTCCCCCAAAATCTACTTTTCTGCCTACTCAAAAGCACTTTGAGAGTGTGTATGGGGAGCAGCATGAGAAATGCAGCATTTGCATACTGATCAGAAACAGACAGTATGTGACCATAATTATTAAGTTGTTTCACCCTAAGAACACCATTACCTGTGTATTTAACTCACTGTTAATTTGCTCTGGCTTTCTCGTTTGCTCCCCTAGCCAGAGGAGGCTTATTCCCACGCAGCGACCGAGAGGGCACAAGAGAGGAAGGCGAGTCCTCCCGGCGGAGCTGTGCTTCTGGTCTTCTTCCAGCGTGCAGCACATCTCTGCTTTGAAAAAGCAAACTTTCTCCCCGTTCCTAACGAGCGCTCATCGCTTATTATTTTTCCCTCGACCGCAGAGCGCCCTGCCCCGCGATGAGCCACAACCTCCTCCTCCTCCCCCCGCTCCTCCTTCCCTCCCTGCTCTGTCCCACGCCCGCCGCTGTCGGGGAGGGGTTTCCCGCAGCCCGCCCCGCTCATAGGCTGGCAGCGGCCGGTCCGAGGTTGGGGCCGGCGTCGGGGTGCAGCGGGGCGAGGTGCGGCCCGGCCCCGCCGCTCCGGGACGGGACAGCACAGCACAGCCCAGGACGGGACGAGCGCTCACGGCGTCATGGAGCGGCCGCTGCTCCGGGGGCAGGAGGTGGGTGCGGTGCGGCGGGCCGTTCGCCCTGCCTTTCTTTTCCTGCCGGTGCAGGGAGAGGAAGGGTTGGGGCTTGCACTTGGGGCGTTTATTTGCGGGCTCTCCCCGCGCGGTGCCGGGAGCAAACTTCACTCCCGGGAGGTGCCGTCCGCACCGCTCGCGCTACGGATGCGTCCCTGCTGCTGCTGCTGCGCGCTCCGTGTCTCCGCGCCGGGCGGGGGTCGGGCGGTCGGGGCGGTGCCTCGCGGGCACCCGGCACCCCGTGTGCTGCCCCGCTCCGCCCGAGGGTCGAGACCCGACGGCTTCCTCGCTACGGCCCCGCTCGGCACCCCGGGAGCCTTCTCCACTGCTTGCGTTTTGTCTTTATTTGGCGTGATGCTTCCTTGCTTTAAGAGGTTGCTGCTGGAGATCCGGAGCCCCGAACGCCTGAGAGCTGCCCTGGGCGGTTGGTTACTCCAGCAGAGATCCCGCAGCGTGCCCAGGGCTGCGTGCCTTGCGTTAGTGGCCGCGTCCTGCCTTGAGGTGAACGCGCGATGCCACGAGCGTTGGGTGGATGTTTTTGGCAGACCGCGTTTCCCTACGGTCCTATCCGCGACAGCGGGTACAGCCGTGTTAATGTCACGTTCCTCGCAAGAGGGATGGCACCGCAGCGCTGCAACAAGCACTGTTTTGGTACGGCGTTACGTTTCCTAGCTGCTTCCTTTTGCTACTCGGAGGGTGGGAACGCCGTTTCAAGAGTCTTTAATTGCTCAAAAATTAGTCCGTGGCACCCGGCAGCATGAGCTCATGCTGATGGCTCACAGGTGTCAGGACTGCACCTGTGCCCCAGCACTTGGGATGCTCGTGGCAGCCTCAGCCTTGGCCCAGGTTTGGAAACCGCCAGGCTGCCCTTCCTTGTCTTTCAGCTCTGCAGGTGGTCCTTCTGTCAAGGTTTAACTTTTCTGCTTGAGTTTCTCACTGAAGCACCTGTCTGCATGCTTAATTTTGCCTGGATACATAACATCCTCCTTTTTGAGGATTCCTGGAAATGGACATTCAGGCTGTGGGCTTGCTGGAAAAGACCCAATTCAGTGATTTTGGGGGGGGTTTGTGCTCAGAAGCTGTTGCTATGACGAGGGGAGGCAGTTTCCCATGAGATCTTGCAGACCCAGAAGTTTCCTGGGATCAGAACTGCAGTTTCCTTCAGCTGCTGAAGATACAATTAGACTTAGAAAGAAAGAAAGAAAACGAAAGCAGGAGGCTGGTGAGCCTCGCTGGTGACTTCACTCTTTCAGGAAGCATCCTGAAATCACATGCCTCAACGAGAAAGTTGCACTGCTTTTCTTAATAGCGATTGTAAGGGCTTGTGTCAGCTTGACACTATAATCCCCAGTAATTGGTGAAGTGCTCTTTAGACCACAGGTGTGGCTGCAGCAGAGGAAGGATCCCATGTTTTACAGCAGGGCTGTTCTGCAGCAGAGATTCGGGAAACATCTTCGTGCATGAAGGAAGTGTGGCTGTGCCTGGCTTAGTTATGAGCTGAACTTGGCTTGGTACACATATTCTCTCCCTGGAAGTGGGTTTAAAGCAAGTTAGCAAATCTTCATAGAAGGAAGCACGAGGGGAACGTGCTTGCTGCTGGCGCTGCCACCGTTTTACTGCAGGAGAATGGCATCATAAAGCAGATATCAGTCATAGGGGTTTCTACAGGCTTCTGGATTTGTCCTCCATGAGGGAAACTCTCACTCGAGCCCTCGGTTTGAGTTTCTGTGGGTGCTGGTTCAATGGAGTGCCTGATGCAGGAGCACTGGGAGCAGAGCACGGCCTCACGCCTTGCTCCTACTGTGCATGGGATGGCCTGTGTTGTGTCCTGTGCTCTTGGGGCTATCTGATGGAAATCACATTTCTATTCTTTTTCCCTTCCCCAAACCCTGCCCACCCTTCTTTTGTTGTTTCAGTCTGTGGTCAGGTGTTCCCATACGCATCTGGATGTGATTATTTTACCAGGTATTTCATCGGGTAGCCTGAAGAGCAGAAGGAGTTGGGGGAAGAAGGAACTGGGGGGAGGAGGAGGATAGCTCTGTTCCCAGTGTTTCCCTCCCAAACAAGCACTGTGCTGCTCTCCCTCCCACGTGGCACAGGGAGCCCAGAGCAGTGGGAGGCAGCTGGTGCCTGGGGGTAGCAGACACGTGTTCCTGCCCTGCTCTCATGCCTGGGGGAGCAAGGAGAAGGCAGGCTCATGGATTAACAGGTGGGGCTCATGCCTGATGCTCCCACAGCGAGAGTGAGGACTCAAGATGCAGGTTTGTAATGCAAAGATAAAATGGCTGTGCCCAGGAAAGTGGTGGAGTCACTGTCCATGGGAAGTGTTACTGACCCGTGGGGATGTGGCTCTGAGAGACGTAGTGGGCATGGGGGAATGGCTTGGGGTTGGGTTTGAGGATGTTAGAGGTCTTTTCCAACCTTAATGATCCTATGAAGAAATGGTCCACAGCCCAAAGGAGCTGGCTGTGTAAGGAGAAAAGGTGCAGTAAGGAGGCAATGCAGTGCTGGGGCAGGCATTTAGCAGAAGAGGAAGTGCAGGGCTAGCAGTGTCCCCAGCGGGGATGGAGCGCTCCGGCACGACACGAGGACACAGAGGGCACTGTGAGACAGACAATATCCCACAGATCAGCATCGTGACATGCTCTGTCCAAGTCTGTGCAAGTGGATGATTCACATCCAGTTGTTGTTTCTGCTTATCTCGTTGGGCAGGAACTTGCTTTTCTGTGCTCCCTGTGCCTTGGGGCGCACGGGTCATGGACACGCAGGAGGGATGCGGCACGGAGCCGCTTCAACAACGCGTCTCCCAAAAAGGATCACCTTTTTAAACCAGAATTGCTTCTTTCGCTTTCCTCCCCCAGCACAGCCCCTGTTGTGAACGTTGGCTCTGCATCATGTCTTGTACTCGAGTGAGGCACAGTTACACGGCGTGGTTGGCCGCTCTGTGTGAAGCATGCAGACGTGTCCATTGCAGTCAAAGGAAGACAGGAGCGACTCAGAGCAGGCAGTGCTTACTGTGGCCTTTCAAGGGGAAACATTTTGGTCTCCCGTTCCACTTTTTCTAAGTGTCTATTCCTGTAGCCCTGATGAGATGCTCTAAAGTGTGTTTTTTCCATGACAGAGGTTCCCAGCAAACTGGTATTTTTTGCAGGGGTCCCACCCAGCTGTGAGCCCTCCCAGTGCGGAGCAGCAGTGAGTCACGGTACCTTCAAGTGTCTGTGGTGTGACCTATCCCAAGACATTTTGGCAGCAGTTGTGGCAAATGAGCCGTTTTGCTCGCTGGCAGAAAGCACCAGAGATAGGAGTGCTGTCTGAGCTCTGGCAGGGTGCTTTTTTTTCCCCCGAAACACCGAATGTTTTTCTTTCTGCCAAGCAGCTTTTCTTTTCTCTTTTCTCTCTTTTTTTTTTTTAAATGTGCAGAAAGAATAAACTGCCCACAGAAAACTCTTGGAAAGCATCACTGCTCTGGGAGGCTAGGATGGGAAATATGGGGAAGAATGTGATTAACCTGGCGCTGATGTTGGGAAGGTTTCCATCTTGCACTGAGCTCGGAGGACTTAGCTTGCAGGTCGTAACCTTGGGGCTCTGATGGCTTCTAGGAAGGGCCATAAGATGATGGGGATCTGCGGGCATCCCGTGTGCTGGGCTGGGGCTGGGGCAAAGGGGCAGAGTGAGCTCTGCTGGGGCTCAGCAGTATCTCCCACTGCCTGCACCATCGTGATTGAGAGAGGGAAGGGAGAAAAAGAAATCCAAGGCATCTGTTTTGTTCTAAGGAAGCTGTTAGTATTGTTGCCTGTGTGTAAATGTGCTGTGCTGCATAAATTTGCAGGTATTCAGTTGTATTTCAGCAAGGAACACAGAAGAGGCTTTCTGCTATTCCCTTCCTGCAAGTTCCTTCTTTCTACGTGGCAGTTTTCTGCTGAGTTTGCCTCTTTCTGAGCTTAGTTCCTCAGGTGCTGACCCAAAGTTGAGCAAGCACTGCTGATGTGATCCCCACATAGAAGCAAACTGTCCTGCAGCACAGTTTCCTGCAGGCAATGGCCCAACAAAGCACCTTTGGATACTTCTGTGTGTGATTTCCAGCAGTGCTGTGAGCAGAGCAAAGCTGTGTTGCTGCTCTGTGGGAACCAGAGGATGAGCAGAACTATTGGAGATCGATCCCTTTGCATTCAGCCACGGAAATGCCATTGCACTGAGCCCAGAGCAGCTGCCTTTGCTGTGCCAGGCTCTGGGTGTCTGCTACGTGCAGCTCAGAGTGTTTGCATTCCTCTATTGGGACCCAAACCCTCCTGCAGACGGGGCCCCCCAAATTCCCTGCGGTCTGGCAGACCCAGAATAGCCTCAGGAGATGTATGGGATGTATACATTTAGTTAGTGGAAATATGTCCTGCATTTTTTGTATGACGTGTTTGGCTATATATAAGGGGGCAGAAATGCACACCATCCTGACACGGCGGTCCTGGTCATCTCTGCTCATTGTCACTTTGTGATCCTTTGTGTCATGCTGTCTTCTTGGCAAGCTTTCCAGATGTAGGATTTCTATACAGCCTGTACAGCCTGTGCCAAGAGCTGTGCATCTGCCAATGCTCCCAAGTGCTGCAACTCTCATCCCTGCCCCAGGAATCCAAACCACAGGCCAACAGCCAGGTGACAGCCAGCCTTACTCACTGATGAGCACCTAATGGTCGGCTTCCTGGTGGAGGTGGTGCTGCCCGAGGTGGGGCACGGGATGTGCATTCCTGTCATTGCCAGCAAAGGCTGAAACACAGCCCCAGCAGTGAGCATCTCAGGGGTTGGGAAACTGCTGCAGCTCAGGGCTGGCCCTGAGTGTGTGCATCAGTGTGAGCTCAGCAGTGATGCTCCCCTGCAAGCACCACAGTGATGTTTTTTCTTTTGTGTCACTGCTTAGAGAAGCAAATAAAAGGAGTCCTTGGGAAAGGCTGGGCTCCCAGCCATAGTGCTGAGCAGGGGTTTGAGCAGATATCCATGTTACTGATGGGAACTGCCATCCCCTGCTGCTGGGGTTCCCAGCACTGAACGTCCCTGTGGTGTGCTCCTGGCTTGGCAGCAGTCCTCCTGGAGAAGGGCTGCAGAGATCGATAGCGGTGAGGCGAGAGGCTGTGCTGCAGTCATTAGTGCGGGAAGCGCTAATTAGCTCCTGCTTTTAGAGGTATTGCTGATAAATGTTAGGAGATTCGCTGTCAGAGAATAATTGTTTTGGAAGCAGTGTTTTGAAATATTCTGCTTTTCTTGGGACTGGGCCAAAGGTAAGTAGTGTCAGTTGGGACCATGCCCGAATATGCTGTTTTCTGTTAACTTGGATTTGCTTTTCAGTCCTTCTCTAGCTCTGGTTTATCTATCCAGGATGGCAGCCATGCCTTATTTCTTGATCGATGATGAGGGAGGGCATGCAGGCAAACAAAACCAGTGCGTGACTGTTTTGCTCCATATGGGGACGTGGTTTGGAGCACAGATGTTCCCAGGTGCTCTGCAGGGCTCTGGCACCTGCTGGGGAATTGGGATGGCTGCACTGCTCTGTGCTGGGTGTGGATCCAGGGCTGCCAGCATGCAAACATCTCCTGCAGGGAGCTCCATGGAGGTGTGGTCTGAAGCTGAATTTAAGCTTAAAATATGAGAAATTGGGCAATATTTACATGAAGAACCTTTCGTCTCTAGGCAGGGCCAGCAGCTGCTGAGGGCATTGTGCGTAGGATTTCCTTGGCACGCAGCCTGAGCTCCCGGTGCCTGCATCTTCTATCCCCACTTTACTGCCTTGCCCCAGTCCGAGCTGAGCTGTGCAGCCTTGCACAGAGAGGTGTGCAGGGGCAGAGCTTGCTGTGGGACAGGCCATTGCACACAGCCCTGCCGCAAGGTCACTGTGCGGGGCAGGAAAGGGGGGGTGATGTTGTGAGAACCGAGGTCAGGGCGGCGTGCAGGGATTTGTGTTCCTCACCACTGGGATGGGAGCTGAGAGAGCATCAGCAGGAAATGCTTGTTTTTACTGGAAGTGCTTCTCCTTCCCAAGTGGGGGCTGTCCCAGTTTCCTAGTTCTGCATGGTGCTCGTCAGTGTCTGAGCTTGTTGCAGTTCTGCCATGATGGCTGCAAAAGCACAAATCTGGGCTGACTTCATTTCTAATTAATTCTGTCCTATTCCCCACCCTTCTGTGATTTGCACTACCACTGGATCCTTCATATAATCGCCACCTTCGAGGCTGGCAATACCAGCAGGTTCTGCTGCCCATCTTTAGCCCTGTGCTGCAGCCTTCGTGCCCTGCTGTTGCGAGGGATGTGATCCCAGCCAGCCTTGTACTCAGCCAGCTGCACATTAATCCAGGCACATTGCTCAGCTCACCCCTGAGCAAGCACGAGGTGTCTGCACACAGGGCTGAGCACAGACTGATGGAGCAGATTGCAGAGCTGCACCCAGTTGGGCGCTCTGTGCCTTCCATTAGCTCAGCTGCTGCTCAGGCTCCTGGGGCTTTGGCTGGGCTCATTTCTCCTCTCAAGCCTATAATCTGTCTCTAATCTCTAGGGCAGTTTCTGGCTGCTGGGGCTGACTCAGGTCCAATCGTGCCTGGACTCTGCTCTGTCCCAGAGCTTGTCTGTGCCAGCTGTGGAAACGATTTAACTTTAAGAAGAAACCACCTAATAATAAAGAAATAAATCCTTAAGTTATGCAGCTGTACTGTGGTCCTCAGCAAATAGGCATGGCACACTGGTTAATTGTTTATCCATTAACCACCTGGGTCAACCGATGTGAGGAGAGGAGCAGGGCTGTACCTGGCACGGCGGGGAGGGGAGGATGCATGCCCAGCTCCATGCACTCCCACCTGCACAGGCTTTGTCCAGCACCAGCTGCGTGGTGTTTGGGTGCTGCCTTCCTGCCAAGGTAAATCACGGCATGGCTCCTGCAGAGTGCTTGAGTTGGTCTTTGTGCAACCCTCATCTCTGGGAACGTGCTTTAGGTTTTGGTGGAGCAAGAACACCTCTTCCATGGATGGATCGGTGGACAGAAGAGGTCTGTGGGTGGGTTTGTGTTATTCAAGCAGGCCTCTTGCGTGACTCCTGCAGTGAGCTGGTGCCGTGTCTGGTCCTACAAGCATGGGAGCTCACTTGCTGGGAGACAACCCAGTTTTTCCTGATTTTAGTCAAATAGGCGTTTTTTTGTTGTGGTGATTTTACCATAGTTTGGGCCTTGTGTGGTATTGGCCTTACATAATAATAAAATTATGTACTTGTTCCAAGAGAAAACAAAAAAAGAGTGTTCTCTCTGTTAAAATGTTAAATTATTTCCTAATTACAGCATACCCGGCTCATTTTATGGAGCTCACTCACGAACAACTGCAGTGTTCTTTGCAGAACTTAGCATCAGAAGTGTTGCAAATGTTTTTAAAGAACTCATTATTTCATACAACTTTAGACCCTCCAGAAGCAGAAATGCACTGGCTTCTGTGAAGTGTTGCCACGCAGTCTTGTCTGTATTTTTTCAGTAGTGCTGCCAGGCTGTGACATTTATTGCTCAGCAGAACAAAGGCCTAAGAAACCTTTTTGGATGCCAGGGGAGTAAGGTGCATGGGGATAAAGGAAGTCTAAATCCTGTGTTTAGGCATTGCAGGTGGCAGTAGTGGGGTGAACTCTGTGCCATGTTGAGGTATTGGAGGTGGCAGTGATGGGGGTGGTTGGGATGAATGTCATCCCACGTCGAGGTGTTGGAGGTGACAATGACAGCCCTGCTCCTTCCTCCCCAGCCCCCCGTGGCTCCGACGCGTGCTGATCTGAGATGTCCCTGAAGCACGAGGGCCATGCAGCTGCTTCAGCGCTGAAGAGGATCGCTGCAGACATGAGCAACATCATCGAGAGCCTGGACACCCGTGAGCTGCACGTTGACGGGGAGGAGGTCGACTCAGAGGTGCTGAGTGATCCCAAAAGTGCTGGTGAGTTATCAGTTACCTGTGTGTAAGAGCCCAGTGTCTCTGCAGTGCTGCACTCAGTCCATCTGAGGTGTGCTAATGGGCTGTGTGCTCCTTGCAGCGTGCATCCCCTTCTCTGCCATCTATCACACCCGTGGATTCAAGGAGCCGGGCACACAGACCTACCTGACGGGATGCCCCGTGCGTGTGCGTGTGCTGGAGGTGGAGCGCTTCACTTCCACCAAGAAGGTCAGAACACACCTGCCAGGAATGCCATTCTGTTTCCATACAGCTTTATGAAAATGCTGTTTGTAGGTGAACTCTGGCTGTGCTCAAGAGGGAGGGTTTCCCATTTGCTTTAAAACCAAATGCTCCTTAGAACACAACAAGGGCTCTTCGAGTGGCTGCAGGAGGGCTGATCTGTGTTGTCCTCCGGCTAGGTCCCAAGCCTCAACGTGTACACCATCGAGCTGACCCACGGGGAGTTCATATGGCACGTGAAAAGGAAGTTCAGGCACTTCCAGGAGTTCCACCGGGAGCTGCTGCGCTACAAAGCCTTCGTTCGCATCCCCATCCCCACCAGGAGGTGCGTGTGGCCAGCTTCCTAAATGAGTCTGAAATACCTTTTCTTTTTTGCTTTCCTGCCCACCCATTTCTCTGTGGGTTTGGGGAGTTTTTCTGAGGAAAGCAGAAGCCTTGCACGAGAAGGGTGGTTATGCATCGAGGTGCGGTTATGCATCGAGGTGCGATGCACACACTTAGGCTCAATGCTGGGCTTTGTGATTCCTCACAGCCACACGGTGAGAAGACAATCCATCAAGAGGGGAGAGCCTCGGCAGATGCCCAGCCTTCCACACACAGCCGAGAGCACGGTGCGGGAGGAGCATTTCTCCAGCCGCAGGGTAAGTGCTGGCGGTCTGGGGGCTGCTGGCGTGCTAAATCCTCCTCCATGCAAAGAGGATGCTGCTGCTCTTTAGGTTTGAAAGAGCGGAGACTCCTGGTGGTTTATTTAACCCATGATGCCCAGGATGATGGTCCCCCTGTTCCCACCTGCTGCAGTTTATAGATAGAAGAGGCAGCTCATAGGGTCAGGTTGCACGATGAAGGCAGCCCCGTGGCCATCAAAATCCAAGTGATTTCAGTCTGTCCCCATCTGAAAGAGGAGATGGCAGTCAGGCTCTCGATGCTGAAATGGGTAATTTTAGCCAAGGCACACATGTTCCTTGTAACTCCATCAGATGTGAACAGATGGGCCCCTCCATGAAGCAGGTGGGTGTCTTCCTACCTCTTCACTGCATCTTTGCCATTTGCTCGAGCAAGCCCAGAAGGGTGTCTTCCTTCACCCTTTCCTTCTCCCCTTCCTGCTGGCTGCTCTCTCCTGGGCTCTGTGCCTCCAGCACTCAAAGGGCTGTGTCCTGTGGCTGTGCAGATAACCCACCCTGCTGCAAATGCCTCACCACTCTGCATGAAGTTTTAGCTTTAAAAGAGAAAGAAAAAGGTTTCCTGAATTCTACCCATCCTACTTTAAAAATCTTTTTTGGTTCTTGTTTTCCTTGTTGCAGCCCCACACTTCTTACCAAGGGGTACAAAGTCCCTGCTGCACACTTGGGAGCATCATGTGCTAGGATAGCAGTGCTGCAAAGTGCAGCGTTCTTAATGGCATCTGGTTCTTTTTGGTTGGCACTGTAGGACACAGGCACGCATGTAAGCTCTTCTTTGCCCAATTCCCGCCAGGGTGAAGAAATTTTCTCTCCATTTCTCTGCTGGGATGGGCAGGACAGGTTCTCCTTGGTGGCCTAGGGACAGGGCGGAGTGGTCACCATGTTCCCCGCGTCACCCCATTGACTTGGCACAGTGCTGAATAGGCACTTGCGGTTGTGTCTGGGGCTGAATTTTCCTATGAAACCATTACATACAGGCCAGAAGCACCGGGGACTGGTTTTGTGTTCAAAATAGCTCTGAAACTTGCACTAGGGCAAGAAAAAGATCCTTTGAGATTGCCAAGCAACAGGGGGGAGGTGCAGTGCACAGGAGCCAACCTGCAGTCAGGCTGTTGTGCCACTGAGCCCTAATCCCCAGTGAACACAGAACAACGCACTCATTTGTCCATTTGAGCACAAGAGTGTCTGATTTCCTGATTGCTTCCCAATATCAGTTGGATTTCTTATTGTTTTTTGTTTTTTGTTTTTTTTTTTTTTCATGAAATTGCCTGCATCCTTTCTAAAGTTTTGATGTTTGAATTGTAGAAACAGCTGGAAGATTACCTGACAAAGATCTTAAAAATGCCCATGTACAGGAATTACCATGGAACGGTGAGTAGAAATTAATGCACTTCAATGGCAACAGGGCATTCTCTTTCTTTTTGTATGTTGAACCTGATGAAAGAATACCACTTAATGGCCATTTGGCAGTGGTTTGGGCTCTGTTGATCACTGTAGCATGGATGGGATATGATGAAAACCAGAGGGAAAGAGTGTGAGGCTGACTGCTGGAGGTCACTGTTGTAACAAGGCAGAAATACAGCCTCAACTTAGGGCATCCAAAGGAACTTGTTCTTCATTTCTTTTCGCTAGCTTGGGAAGAAGTGCTGCTCTGGAAGTCATTTGCAAGCTTCTAGCTTTGCAGGGACCTCAGGCAGCCATTTGGCACTGGGGCAGAGAGTGGGGCCAGGGCTTTGTGCGGGTTCTTTTGGGGACAAGCAGCAGAGCAGTCGCAATCTGCACATGGAAAGCAGTCATCTTTCATTCTCAAGGCAATGTTGGGCTAACTTGGCAATTTTGATCAGCAGCATATGCAGAGCGGGGGAGAGTTATTCTACAGTATTTATCCCTCTTGTCAGATTAGGCATTGCTTGTCGGAATACTTTGCAGGATTTCTGCAAATGTAAAGCTGTGTGCGATGTGACTGGGATAGGGGGATGGGTGGTCCCTGCCTGGGCAGCCATGAGCTGTGCAGAGTGTCCCTCTGTCCCCAGCCACACAGCCAGACGTCACCGTGCACAGAACCTCTCTGGTTGTTGTTGGCTCTTGTTGAATTTGGCTGCAGTGAAACATTCACTTTGCTGCTAAGGGCAGCAGTCCTGCGCTGGGAGGAAGCATGGGAAGCAAAATGTTTCCTTTAAACAAAAGAAAACAAAACAAACCCCCACCATTCTCTGTCTCGACGCAAAATTGAGGGTTTCTGGCATTTTCCTTGGAACTGAATTTGTCCTCCTTAGAACAAAATGAGCACTTTGCTTTCTGTGGTTGAGAAGTCTCTGCCTGGAGTCTGGAGAATGCTGTTCCTGTTTGCAGCTCCGATCACTTTGGCTCTGCAATTCCTCCTATTGAGTTGCCAAGGGTTTCTGCAATTCCTAAATTCTTGGTAAAGTGGAGTGGCAAAGGCAAGCTGTGCCCAGCATGGTGTGCAGCTCTTGCTTCTTGTACAGCACCCTTCTAATCTGTGCAGTTTGATTAATTCTCACATCTGCTTTCCATGTTATGTCCTGAAGTTTATGCCGTTCCCTGGGAGCATTCTGGCTGCAGCTTCCCTTCCCTTCCCTTCCCTTCCCTTCCCTTCCCTTCCCTTCCCTTCCCTTCCCTTCCCTTCCCTTCCCTTCCCTTCCCTTCCCTTCCCTTCCCTTCCCTTCCCTTCCCTTCCCTTCCCTTCCCTTCCCTTCCCTTCCCTTCCC